TTCATTGTCGAAGTGATCTTTTATTGTCTGATTTTGCTGTCTAATGTCTTCCTTGAGACTCCAGATCATCTGAAGCATGTATATCCTGAATTCTTTATCTGACATTCCATCTGCTGCAGCTATTACCTCTTCTAAAGTTGAATTGACCTGCATTGCTTGTGGTCCTTTCTTTCCTTGTCTTTTCATGCTGCTTGCGTTTCTTTCTGCTTGGTGAAACTGTTGTGTTATTGAATTTTCCCCCTATATATTTATATTGTTCTTGTATAGTTGAAAAGTCTCCCTTGCAGGGGCGGGCGGCGGCTGTGCTCCTCCTCCAATTGGAGTGATCTGTCTACCACACTGACGGGCCGCTGGGCCTGTTCTGCCGGTCGGTYGCAGGTCTGCCTACCCGCGGGTGGCGGCTCTGCTCTGCCCTTACTCCAATTGGGGTGATGTGTCTACCACGCTAGCGGGTCGCTRGCCCTCTTCCAGGTGTGGGAGGCAGCTCTGCTCTTCCCCTACTCCAATTGGGGTGACGTGACTACCACGCCKGCGGGTTGCTGGGCCTGTTTCGGGCGCCGCCGGCGGCTCTGCTCTGCCCCTWCTCCAATTGGGATTAAGTGACTACCCCGCTGGCGGGACGCTGGGCCTGTTCTGGGTGCGGACGGCTGCTGTGCTCTGCCCCTATTCCAATTGGGGTGACGTGACTACCACGCCAGCGGGCTGCTTATTTACTTTTCCGTAGTTCATTTTAATGTGAATTTAGTTTTCCAGAATGTTTAAAAGGCTCATGTCAGCCTATCTTTTCTAAGCTTACATATCTCCCTGCTCAGAAATACAGTCTGTTGCTTTCTGAAAATTTTCTGGCTTGATTCCCACTCCCCATCCCTCGCACACACATACACTCATCTGGGGCTGATCTTTGTCCYTGTTGTCTCTCTCTGATTAGTCTAGATTCCACTTACAACTGTTTCTCTTAATTGTGGGCTTTGTGTTTAAAGAGTTCACAGGGATTAGTTTTTCTCCAGCCCAGGCCCAGTAGCCCATCTGCCTCACAAAAGTACTAATGTGAGCTAACTTTTCCTTGTTTCAGTTGCTGACTCAAATTGGACCACAGAGCTTCCCAATGACTACCAGGATTCTTCTCAGTTTGCTCAGATGCTCTGTGGCTTTCTTTCTTCAACAGATACTGGTGATAGGCAGTTCTTGATGTTATTGGTGGTTCATAGATAATATTTGTCCACATAATTGTGTTGTAAATGTTTTTCATAAGTTTTTAAAAATTTGTTGACTAGTTGCTCCATCTGTTTTTCGTTCGTTTGTTTTGTTTTTTGGTCCTGGGGATTGAACCCAGGGGCATTTAACCGCTGAGCAATATCCCCATCCTTTTTATATTTTATTTAGAGACAGGGTTTTGCCAAATTGCTTAGGCCTTGCTAAGTTGCTAAGGCTGGGTTTGAACTTACTAACCTCCTGCCTGAGCCTACCGAGCCACTGGGATTACATGTGGTGTCACCATGCCCAGCTGTTCATCTGTTTTTAAGTTGGGGAGTCAGGAAATCCCAAACTTCTGCTTCTGTCCTTTCAAAATCCAGATGCACTAAATTTATTACCTGATATGTGGGGTGGTAGCAAGAAGATGATCATATTTTAATAGGCTTAAAATTAAGAACAGTTGTCATATTCTTTCCAAAAAGTTTGGGGAAAGCTAAACAGTCATTCACTGCTTCTTATAAAAGGCTTTTAACAGAAAACAAAATCATAAAACTTGAAGGCAATGAAAAAATGACAGTTTTGCTCATGGTGTTGAAAGTGGTTTGTTTATCATTGTATAAATCCCACTCTCAACAAGAGACAAATCATATTAACTAGCATAGATTGGTTGCCATTTTTTTTTTTTTGCTTTATTCAGAATTTAATGGCCAACTTAGGTTTTGTAAACCATTGAAGGATTACTGTTCACTGTTGAGACTTGATCTTAACCAAGAAATTTACTGATTAGCACTTGTCCTTATTGTCTAGATGTAGAAAAAAATAAATACACTTTAAACTTGTTCAGAAGAGCTCCATGGAGTAATCTATTTACTAAGGGCCAATTTGCTAATATTCATTCACATGAAGGCAATAAAGTGTTGAAATGCACATCTATTTCAAGTTCCTTTATCTGTAAAAAGGGCGATGTGTATRTAATCCAATCCTGAATCTTAGAACTTAACTTTCAATGTAAAAAGACCAGTTCTCTGCTACACAAAAATTCAGCCATATGCTTGATGTCTATAAAGTTAACTCTTTCTCCTTCTCTTCTTCTGCAGAGTCTCACTAAATTGCCAAGCCTGACCTTGAACCCACTACCCTCCAATCGCAGCTATTATGCCCAGCCATGTATATAAAGATTTTTCTAAAAATCTACATGTCACTGGTGGCAAGCTTGTAATTCCAGTGACTTAGGAGACTCTAAGCTGGAAGTATCACAACTTAGGGACACCCTGTCTTAAAATTAAAAAAATAAGAAGTACTAGGCATATAGGTTAGTAGTAGACCACTCCTGGGTTCAGTTTTCAGTACTACTAAATAAATATTTTTTAAAGGTTTAATTAAAATTTTTTAAAAGGCTGGGTAAGTTATATTACTACTGTATAAATATTATGTTTGATGATATGAATATGTATATTTTGCCCTTCAATTTCTCTTTTAAGGTCTCAGCCAGTTTCTTCTCCAATCATCCTTCAGTTTGGTCACGCAGAGACCCTTCTTCCACTACTTTCTCTCATGGGCTACTTCAAAGACAAGGAGCCCCTAACAGCTTATAATTACAAGGAACAAATTCATCGAAAGTTCCGAAGTGGTCATATTGTACCTTATGCCTCCAACCTAATATTTGTGCTCTACCATTGTGAAAATGCCAAGACTCCTCAGGAAGAATTTCAAGTGCAGATATTATTGAATGAAAAGGTGTTGCCCTTGGCTCACTCACAAGAAACTGTTTCTTTGTATGAGGATCTGAAGAACCACTACAAAGACATCCTCCAGAGTTGTCAAACCAGCGAAGAATGTGAATTACCAAAGGTGAACAGCACATCTGATGAGCTATGAGTAATTGAAGAACGTTTTTAGTTCATCAGTGCTTCCCCATAGGGAGTGATTACATGTTTATAATAAGTAGACAATATCTTGATTACAGAAGCTTTCATATTACTTGGCTATTTCTGTCTTTTCACAGAAAATCTAAGTTTTTTGAGGAGGGTCTGGACCTGATACATATATAAGAAATGATTTTCACTGGAGCAGCTCTCTTAAGGAAATAAAAAAATCTTTTCAGAGAGACAACTAACAGGGCAAGTGTTTACAGAAATGAAATTTTTCCAACTTCTACRAGAAACCTCACACTGAAGTAGAGTATGATTTGAAAATGATACTTGCAAAGTCCTGGATTATCRAAACATGTCAATTGGATGATCCGTAATTTGATTTAACTGGTCCAATTGTGCTATAGATCTGTTTTTTTCCCRGGTGGAACAGTTCTAGTATTAATTGTGTCTCTTAATCAGAAGTATTGTGATTAACTAAGAGTATCATTTTAGAAGAAAGCTAACATTTAAGACTTTGAAACAGTGTTAAGAAACAGACTGATTTAAAAGGGCATCTTCACCGAATGAAGCAAGAAAAAAGTAAGATAATTATTTTTGTTAATAGTATTTTATAAAGTATTTAAACTCTTTCAACAATTACTTTTACTTTTAATAAGTCTTGCAAGGCTATTTCAATTATCATCAGACCTGTTTTAAGTATACAACAATGGAAAGACAAAAGAGGACCATTAGCAACAAGTCAGATGGATAAATCAGAGTTTCWTAAATTCGTTGTTTAGGTATCTTTTTCATTTTGTCCCTTGGCTCCCATTTTTAAATTTTATTATGTGAAGTGTATCCTTTKTTTTCTTTTTATATTTGTTCTTAGATATACATGACAGTAGAGTATATTTTGGCATATTATATATACATGAGTGTAACTTCCCATTCTTGTGGTTGTGAAATGCATCTTTTGGTTGTTTGACTTCTTTTTCATTAAAAAAAAGAATATCATCCTAGCTGACTYCGTTTCATACATCTGAACTCATTTCATAGAAATACTTCTGAGTTCTATCAAATGCCATGAAAATATTTTCTACAATAAACAAAATTCTTCTTTACCTGATCTTTTTTGCTCTCCTTGTTGAAATTCAGTCAGTTATTGATGTTGGAATTTCATACAGCCTTGACTCAGTCAGGCAACATAAGGCAATTTTCCAGTAGAAATTTCTTCAAATGAAGAGATTATTGTTAATGCATTTTATTTTAATCTATCTTCTCTTTAAAGATTATATCTTTCAGAGGAAAATGTAGGATTTTTGTCAAAAATGTATAGCTACTTTTGGGGCTGGAGTTGTGGCTCAGTGGTAGAGCACTTGCCTGGCATGTGTGAGGCCCTGGGTTCGATCCTCAGCCCGCAAATAAATAAATAAATAAATAAATGAAAAATTCATTTACAACTAAAAAAAAATTTAAAAAACAATGTATTAGCTACTCTTACAAAATAACATGAAGTAAAATCTCAATTTACTAGAATCCATTGCACTAATTTTTTGATAGTTTACTTTTGAGGGGATACATATACATAAACAAACACATATTAAAAATATGCATGTGTCTGTGTATAAATTGTCAGGTGTGATTTGGATTAGGACTCTTTTAATCAGATTTCAGTAGATAAAAATGGAAAAATCCACTTCAGGCTTGAAGAAAAAAAACTAAAATAGGATCTTTCTTGGTACTATTTTCTAGTTAATGTTTAATTTTTCAGTCAATGAAGTTGTACACTGATTTAGGGATATGATTAAAAAAATTTAAACATTTTTTCTGTGTACAGGAAAACCTCTTGCTCCTTTCATTTTTGCAAAATATAATTGGGACACCTTTAAAATTATATTTATTGTTGTATTATGGGATTTTGCCAGTACCTTTTGAATGAATTTTCTAAGTTTAAAAAAAAGTAGTACTAATAATTAAGTAAAAAAAATACGAGTCAACACTTGAGGACTTTAAATATGGTGTTTGTGCTATGAAAAGTTTCATTTCTTTATGGCATTTTGAGAAATGGAATTACCTACAATGGCAAATATTCAGAAATGGACATGGAACAGATTAATTCAGATATTGTCCCTGGCACACAAATCTTAAAAGGAAAATATAGATGTTACAAGAAAAGAATCCCGAGTTCAAATGAACTTGGAATTCTGTTTCCTGTGGATGCCCCATTCTTAACATGCTGCCTTGTTTGACCGAGAATTCTTTTTAAAGAAGAATCTTCTAAAGAAGAATCCTCTTGTAAATGATAATGTATTTGAAATTTTTTGTATTTAACAATGTCACTCGGTACTGGGAATTTAGCTCCGTAGTAGCTAAGCATGCTCAAGGCCCAGGGTTTGATCCTCGGCACCATTAAAGAAACAAACAGACCAGGTCATTTAGGTTTCTTTCAGATAAGAGAATAGTGAATAATAGAATTAAATACAAGTCGAAAAAGGCTGTACTCAGTTGTACATTAGAGTAAATAGGTGGTATTATTAAAATTTTTATCTTAAAATACTRTTTTATAAAAATGGAAACCCATTCAATTAAAAATCTGAACAAGAAAGTATCAAAATAGTGTATTGAAATTAGAAGATTCATAGATTGTTGATCTTACAATGAATGATGTTCCTAAAGTTGATGATTAGCTGGTAAATGCTGATGCATTAGTACACTCATTGTGATTATTTCTGCAAAATTCTGCTGTTTCTTTTCTTTTTAATTTGTAAATAGGCAGATAAGAGAATAAAATAATAAGCACTCATGCCCATCCAAAATGCCAAAATTAACATTGTAATATTTGTTTTAGAATGTTACAAGAACAGCTTGGAGTACTTTTGTAGACCTCCCCTTTTTTCTCTCACTCCTTTCCTAGAGGTAGCCATCAACATAAAATCTGTATTCACTGTTCCATGGCATGCTTGACTCTAGAAACTTGTACTTTTGTTGTGGTATTTAAATTTTTTTCTATAAAAGTTCTTATACATTGTGTATTCTTGAATGAGTGATTGAACAGCATTTTTTTCAAGACTTCTTGATTCTGATCATTTTTTGCAAATTAATTATTTGACTTCATCAATACTTATTGAGCACTTTTCATGTAGAAGCACTAGACTTAGTCAATAGGCATGTAAAGATGAATGAACACTTAAAGGGTTGTCTTAATAGAACTTGAAAACAAATTTATCTGGTGTCTCGCACTAACTAAACGACTTGATTCTTTTAATGTAAAATATCAAAGACTATGAAAGTTTTATAAGAATTGCTTATTTTTATTGTTAAATAGGACCACACAGCCATCTTTATAAAGATGTATGGTAAGTATTTCAGAATGGAGGGGAAATAGGATCCATTTTTTATAATATTAAGGAGGCTGTGATACTATTCTGGTGCTATAATACTCATTTAGGAAATGCCTGAAACTGAGGAATCTCATAATAAAAAAGTTTTTATCTAGGACATATGAAGAGTTGAACATAGTAAAACTGTCTTAATTAACAAGGGTTCATTTATAATAAGTGACCAAATTACTCAGGTAAGTCAAAATCCAGTCCCTATTGTTTCTGCCATTTGGGTTGATGAATTATGCCTATTGACATTAGCCAGTTTTTGGTCTGATCTACAACTTGATGTGTGCATTGCGTTGTATTTAGTTTTTTCTGGTTATATCATTGCTTTTCAGATTCTGCTAATACACAATCACTCTCTTGAAATTATTTTTTGTGGATAATTCTGCTCTTTAACACCATAAGCAAAAAGAAAAAAGTGCTTTTTTTTTTCCAGGCATAATCAACTTTCATGATCTGAGTGCTTTCCTTTTGTAAACTGCAGAATTGATGCATGCCCTTAAAGATTTCAGAGTTTAATACAACTGAACCAGAACATAAAAGTGCAAAAGTTTGGCACATTTCTCTAAGATGATTTTTCATGTGGTTCTCTAATAATATTTAGAATTTGACTGCCTTTTGCCAAATGTAAATGAAATAAATATTTGCAATATTATATAATCTAGCAGTTAACTCTGAATTTATGTCACAGATCCTTATTTCTGTCTGCTTCATTCTTTTCTCCAGTATTTCCTTCCAGTCATCTGGTGGTCTATTCTACTCTTAAGCATCCTCACATAAACCTATTCAAGTGTTTTTTTACTTGTTTTATGAGACAATTTCATGGCAGGAAAAGATTTGTCATGTTCTCTCTGCTTCTGGGCTCCCATGAGCTGAGCAGCTCTATTCCACCAGGTCCTTCTGCCATGATTCTGCCTCATCTTATGTCCAGAGCAATGGAGTTGGCTGACCATGGGCTGAGATCTCTGAAACCACAGTCCTCAGTGTAGGCACAGTGGTTTGCAGACCATTGACAGGCAGCACCTGGTAATAAAGCAGCTTCCTAGTAATAAAGAAATGAGACCAGAATGTGAAACTAATTAATATAGTCAACTCACAATACCTTGAGAAGTTCTCTGGCACCCGTAAAATCATTAAACAAACCACAGTGGGCTGAATCCCCAGACACTAAATAGAGATTTCAGAAAGTCTTAACAGGTTTTTACATTGTGGTTAATGGCTAAGGCACTTAACACAAAAAGTGAGACAGGTTTATCCCTGATTTATTTTTTGTGAAAGGACAGACAAAACGAATTCAGCAAAACAGAAATCCACTGGAAAGTAGTATCAGAGACAATATGTCACCTGAAGCATAAAAATCAAATAAAACAAAAAGGATTATGTAGACCCTTTAGTTATGAGGTTCTTCTGCTGCTCAGCTCATGTAGACCCTTTAGTTATGAGGGAAAGGGTTTTTAAAAAATAATAATAGGTTCAGTGGCACACACCTCTCTAATCCCAGTTGTTGAGGCAGGAGTATCTCAAGTTCAAGGCTAGCCTGGGCAATTTAGCGAGACCCTTATCAACAAGACCTTCTAGAAAATTAAAAAGGACTGGGGGTGTAGTTTAGTGGTAAAGCACCCCTGGTTCAGTCCACAGTTTAAAAACAAAAGATTTGGGGTTTTTTTCCAATTGAAGTAGTTAATTTGTAGTTTGAGCATCATTCCTGACACATTTAGGACAAGGTTAACTTCTAAAACATTATTTTATCATATTAAAGCAACACATTTTAAAATAGAAGGATTCTTTTCCTATTTTTTGAAATGGAGTCTCACTGTGTTGCCTAGGCTGGCCTTAAATTTGTGAGCTCTGGCAGTACTTACATTGTAGCCTCCCCAGTAGCTGGGAGTAAAGGTGTGTGCTATCACACACAGCTGGAAGGATTCTATTCTAAAACTAGTCTCAGTGTCACATCTTTCATTTAATATGATCCTGGGTTTTAAGCAATTCTGTAGATCCAAGTAATTCATTTTACACTTTTGTTTGTTGTACTGGGAAAACAGATGTTTGTTCATTGAAATGATAGCTTTCTGAATTAGCGAATATAACAACAGTCTTAATTAGAATATTTACATTTCTAAAATAGTTAATATGGAAAATTGGGATGAAAATCTAGAGATTTTTTGTTTTTTTCCCTAAGAGTTCATCCTACCAAGCTCA